GGCAAGGTGTGTCTTCTTTAATCTTCATTCTGCTTCTTTGAGGTACCTGGACCCCAAAAGTAGGTAAAATAATGGCCTTTATGGCTGTTATCGTGGGTTCAGGGCTAGTATTCTACATACCTTTAGGGTCCAGGTAGTACCCGGATCAAGGTGGAGCCAAACTAATGATGTAGACTTGTCAAAGGGTTTAGGGTTTAGGGTTTAGGGTTGATAGTTGCGAAGGCAATGCGGCTGCTGTCGTGTTGAATTCGGCTGGATCTTGACCAAGTTCCCTAAACCCTGAACCTGTAGCATCATGACGAGCGGAGGAGCCCTGTCCAAACCATGCACCAGTACTCCTCGCCATGTCCCCGAACCCGTTGAACCTAAAATCCCTACACCCTAGCCTGTGTTCGACCCCTCTCAACCCTTCACTCAAACCCCTGGTATGACATGTGGAGAGTTCCCGGAATTCGTGGCACCATCTAAATTAATTACCCACAATGATCCTCCAAAAGGAACCCCGACAGCAGCACACTTCATGCTCACGAATTCCCAAGTGGGAACCTCCAGAGACTTCCACGGCAGCCGCGAAACCAACACCGAAGAGACGGCTTCCTTGCTTGAGGCTTTCCCGTGCTGCATGTGGCGTAGAGATGCCCTTGTAGGGTTGAGGCAGTTTAGGGCTTAGGTAATGCCATGAATGTAGCTCTGCCTGACAACCCCGTTGGGGTTCGGGGTCCGTATCGGATGCATGAAATCAGGATAATAATATTAATACGGATACAATAATCGATGAAGGGAGAAGATAGAAAGACCGTGAAAGGGATCGTGTACCTACTATGCGGACGCGGCTATCCACCAGCAAGACGGCTTGCAGGGCCTAAATGTGCTCCAGAATCCCCTTCATGACCCTCACCCTACTTCCTGCATGATCAGGTGGGCTTGCTTCCGGATACATCATGGTGCCCTTTAAGAATGATATACTAGGACAGTTCAATGTGAATTCCAGAGTCCCTGTAACTGATAAGGGACATGTCTCAAGCTGTGTGTTCAGGAGGAGCCAGTCCACCGGAAGCATTTCGGTTGAGGGGAAAGGCAGCCAGGAGATGGTGCGCAAGATGTCCGACGTAGGAGACATGGTATCCTAGACTAGGACCATGTAGAAGCATGTGCAAAGACCGAAAATTGCAAGCAGAACCATTGGCACCCCACGATTTGGGTCAGAAGCAGGGACTTCTAAGGTCATGCAGGCGCGTACCACTGCTTTGTACTGTGAATTAATAAATATTGAAGCATGGCATATGCCCTAGAAGTGAATACTTCATTTCTGCATTCCTAGACGATGCAAGAACACTACATCCAGAGACCACTACATCCACAGTATAAAGATGTCTCACACATCGCGTAAGCTACCTGTATACAACTAGTGTAACTTCAACAAATGCTGACACATGAATTATCCTAAGGGTCCAAGGACCCAAATAATAGGGCTTTAGGGCCCAAATACTATACTATCAATGGTAATTATTTGGGACCTAAAACCCCATTATTTGGGTCCTTGGACCCTCAGGGTTAGTTTACAGGTCCAGCATCATTGTACTGAAGAGATCCCAGGTGAAGCCACAGCTTGCGCAGGTCTCCTACAAGGATTTCGCAGCCCCAGAGTATATTGGGCAAACGGAAAATAAAATGGAAACTACAAGGATCATAGGGATTATATAGGGGTTATATAGGGATTATAGGGGACATATTGGGGTTTATATAGTCGCAGGCAAAGCGCAAGGAGGAAAGAACTAGAAAGAACTACAATGACAGCAAGAGGAAGCAAGACAACAGGACAGAGAGAGTGAGAGACAATAGGCAAATCCAAATCAAATCTTGAGGGAAGTCTGCGTCACGGTTGTCTCTTAGGATTGCAGAAGGGCAACGATCTCACAATTGTGTCTTAGACTTAAGCGTTACTACCCATCAAGGTCAAGATGACTCCAACACGTTAGAGCATCAAAAAAACTCGGGACCACCCCCCTATCTTCCGTTGTCTTCTTGCCTTGCCATCTTGACTTCAGAAGCAGACTATTTGACTATTTTATGGGCTTCACTTAGGGGACCTTAAGCCCTCAACTCTACACCAGGGGATCTTGAGGGTTTCTGGGGAGCTCCTAGTTGAGCAAGCGCTCCAAGAAGTGCAACCTGCCACCACAGCACGCCCTACTATTGCTGAAGGTCGTGGAGGAGTGAAAATACGTACCACTATGGGAGTATATGCGGGGAGTGTAGAGGATAATTATGAGGATCCACTCCCCACTCTCCCTTGAGCTCTAGTAAGACACTTCATGTTTATGGTTGTACGCCAGGATGGGGTATCATTAGGAACCATAGCAATACAGGGACATGGGCTAGGGGGTCGGTTTAGGGAATCACTAGGAACCCTGGCAATAGATTCTGATACGGTTCCACTGTAAGGATTGTATGAGTTGGGGCAAGTCTCATGTGGGCATAATCAGCATGGCTCACTGCCTTGCACTACGCAATCCGCTTCAAGCGGGGCATGAGGAGATCCCAGCCGCCCTCATTCATTGACACCAGGAATGCATACATTGACGTGCTCTAGCATGACACGCTGTGCAATACATAGATAGCAGTGTGTGAGGATTGTGTCAGGATGCTGTCGGGGTCAACATTGTTGTCTTTTCGGGGTCTTTCCATGGTTCCGACAACCGATTCTCCCATTCCCATCCTAAACCCAGAACCCAGAACCCGCAGCCAACCTCCAGACAGCAATGGTCGGTCGCGATGTACAGCTCTTGCAAGGCAGGAAGACTTCCCACCTGCACCGCTCTTGTAAAAGATCGTACCTTGGACCCTTGGACTCACTATACTATTATCAGTACTAGTACTATTGTTACTACTACCATTTTGTCTATTGTTATTACTACTACTGACTTCTTGCTAGAACTTTCATAATCTGCTGCTACTTGCTGCTGAATCTGCTACGGCATCTGCTACGGCATCTGCTACTGCTGCCGCTTCCGCTTCTTCTTTTTCTTATTCTTTTCCTTTCTTATTCAGCCTGTCGTTGCCGAAGCATGTTCCCACTTTGAGATCTTACTTTTCGTGTCCTCACCACTGCGATGGACCATGTGAAAGGCCTCCTGGAGGCAGTTTGGCGCGCTGAGCTTGGACCCGTCACCGCGCATGTCTTCGTAGGAGACTGCCAGGGACATACGCCGTAAGGCCTGGCACTTGCCCTACTGGTGTTTAAGGGGGAGTGAATCCAGGCACCATTATAGGGGTATACACGGGGAAAATATAGGGATCATTTGAAGGATTCCCTCCCCCGCTCTCCCCTAAGCACCAGCAAGTTGCCGGCGAGCGTGTATGGGGATATGGGCAGTGTGGGAATTAGAGTTTTAGGGTTTAGAGGATTTGCTTACTCCGAGCTGGTGTTTCATAACATCCTCTAGATTTAAAGCTAAATACTCGTACCCAGAATAATAGCCTATAACCCACAAATAATGGGCGCGCAGGCTATTATTATAAGTATTTGGGTGGTCCAGGAACATGTTTGGACCAGATTTTGGGGCTAAGGATACTCGAAAGGCAGCATGCATCTTGAAGCCAAAGAAGCCCGCAACGGCAGAAAGCAAAAACTTAACCCTTGCCCAAAGGCTCCATGTAGCTACATGGTATATACTTGGGCCTCAAAGTAGGTATATGGAACCTCTTTGGGCCCTAAGTATATACCATATTCCTACATGGATCCTTTGGGATGGTAATAGGCAGGCTATTAGCACTAGAAAGATTGTATCAAGAACGACTTACATGGCTGCTTCCAAAACGAGAAGGGTAGAGCTGCTTCTGAAACTTGATTCAATACCAAGGTTTTTCAGGATTGAAAGTTGAACATTGCTTTCTAGAACAATATCACCCTAATTTTTGGGTCATATTAGGGTTATATCAATATCCTGTTTGCTGCTACTATGGGGAGGGGAACGCTGTTTCCGAGCAAAGATTATTCCTCACAACTCCCTGGGAAGTAAGTGAGGGAAGCGGTTTCGGACATCAACCAGGTCATTTTAAGTGCAACTTCTTGTGGCGGCCAAATCCCACCAGGATGAGCTCTAGCAGCAATCAACGGCCACACTGAACTAAAGGATGCTTGGAGTAGGAACCCTATCATCTGACAGATCCATACCATTTTCACAACATGAAGCAAAGCCACCTTTGGACAATTTTCTATGTAATTAAGCTACCATCCGGCATGATCTCAGGTGAGGTCACGCTACCCAGCCGAGTACGACGATGCTGAACATAGAATTTCCATCCTAAGGGCTAGGAGAGAGCCTCAATATGACAAGACCTCTGCACTTCACAGCAGGACTGGAACATACTCACACTTTTGCCGTTGGTAGCAGATTCCCTGCATCCATGCCTAACGTTCGCCATGACAGGAAAGGAAAACACCTAACCTCAAAACCTTAAACCCATGACAGCAAGGAGGCACACCTAGCGATCCTTTCCGACTAGACGCTCCCATCTCTGCCGCCGCTCCGTGTTCTCTAAGACAACCTCGAAGCAAATTGAATACTAAATCCTCAAAAACCCACAACAGCCCTCACCTAGTCCCCCGTATGATAAAATCCCAAGGGAGGATGCTTCAGCCCTCCAAATGCTTTGGGGTTCCCGAATGCGGATATCAGGATTCTATGATAAGCCGAGCCTTGAGCTGTTTGTAAATTGGAGGCAGCATGGCGGCTAGCTCCTTAGCTGCAGCTGCAACAGGCTGTTTTTTTGGGGGTGGTGGGTTTCTCAAAATGCGAAGTGTGTAGGGGCCCTAAGGATGTATGGGGACAACTAGAGATAAGGCGAAACCAGGTGGCAGCTGCCTTGTGAATTGGACACGCTAGCCCCGCTTGTGGATCAGACCAACACACAAGCAATGGCTGAGCGTCTAGTGAAAAAGCTCACACAGGGATAATCATCATGGTAGCTATGCCAAGTCTAGCTATCCAAGCAGCATCTTCCACAATCCACATGGTGCCATCCTCTGCCAACGATCGACAGAGGCCGCGCTTCAGCCCAGAGTTGCCCAGCTCCAGGGTCTTTGCCAAATCAAGCGTCACCAGCCGCTCCCACCAAACAAAGCTACCTGGCGGCATACAAAAGCCCGGTCGGTGCGACTTCTGGGGGTTCAAACGGTAAAGCAGCCCAAACATGAAGATCTCATGAACTTGGGGCAGCGGCTGATGACAACATGCTGCTAGAGACTGTTTAAAGCGGCATTGGTGATGCAGTGGCTTGCACAAGCAGAACCCTGCCAAAAAGACTTTGGGGTAGTCAAAGAGCAACTATACCCATGGCTGAGCACTATTTGAGGCCCCTTGATCGCACTTCCCCTGATCGCCGCAAAACGGACTCGAGCATGATTGCTGCTCTGGCGTTTGGACACGCCCCGTTGAGAGGCGATGCATCAGAAAAAAACATGATAAGCAGCAAAATGAAATGACCACACAAACAAAAAATGAAGACCTGCGCGCGGTGTCAAAAAAAACATCAAGAAGACATGAGGGCCATGATGCTGCAAATTAGCAAGAATAAAGAGAAGGTGACTAGCACTAGTCACAGTACGAATATGGCTAGTGATACAGTAGCAATAGCAATAAGAAAAATAGTAATAGTAGCACTAGTAGTCTCGATGCGGATACCCCAAATGGGGTAGCTACCTAGAGTAGCCAAGCGTAATTTCGCTTGCCGACCACGCCAAGCAGCCTTTGGACTCTTGCGCCCGAGAGAGAGAGAGAGAGTGGTGGTCATAATAATCACAAGTAGTAATCATAATGGGCAGTAGAAGAAATGGTCGTAATATGAAAAAAAGGAGTCTTCATGTATCACGCAGCAAGGCAGCATTGTCTGGCGAGCTCTGCCAAAACTATCGGTGCCGCAGGTGGGTTACCGGCACAACCTTCCACTACTGCGCAAATTGCGATGGCATGACCTTTCGTGTGCCGTAAGCATGACATTGGAAACCATATTGCCACGGATAAAGCCGGCGAGCCAGAAAGCCCCAAGAAGCCAAGAAGCCAGGGTTGAGGGTTTAGGAGAAGCGTGAAGGCTAAGAAGCCCAAAAGGTAAAAAAACAAAAAGCCAGGGGCCTGGATATCATGCAGACTCAGACATTGGCGAACAGCCAGGGCAGCCACGTTAGCCGTGAACGCCGAAGTGGCCGAAAAGCAGGCAAGCCAAGAGCCTAAAAGCCAAAAAGCCAAAAAATCTAAAACACAAAAAAGAAGCAAGTGGCGTGGATATCATGCCAAAAGCAGAAAACCGGAGAGGCAACAGGGCCACGAAAGAGACTTCGGTCCATATTGTTTGTTGATGCTTGGCATTTTTTGATGCCTGGCAATTTCTCTTGTTGCCTTATTCTTTTTTGTTGATGCCTGTGCCCTGGGCGGGCTTCAGGTACTTGAAGTTGCTTTTTGGATTAGGATCTTCATCAAATACGCATGTAAGCTATAGTCTAGACTCCTGGTATCCCCCTTACTAACGCCTATGATAATCCCATATGCAATCCCCTATATAATCCCCCTTTAAGGAGTTGAGACTATAGCTCATGTCAGCCTTTTGAAATCGAGGAGATTTGCATGTTCTTGCTTACCAGGGCAAGCCTTGGAAGCCTCAGATGCAGACCTTTAGGGTTTAGGGTTTGGGGATTAGGGTTTAGGATTTTAGGGTTTAGGGTTTTTAGGGCTTGGGGATTTAGGGTTTAGGATTTCAGGGTTTAGGGTTTCAGGATTTAGGATTTGAGGATTTAGGATTTAGAGTTCTGGGATCTGCCTGTGAGCAGCGGTCTGATCTTTTCGGCGTCCTCGTGCAGGGCTGCGCAGAGGAATCGTCCTGAGACAGCTTTTGATAGGTAAAATGAGTAGCTTTTTTTTTTCTTTTCCGTGGTTGAACCTAGTAAGATTATATTCCGTATATGAAATACTGTAAAATACGATACCCAAAAGGGGGATATAATCTTACTCTCTATTGGGACCATAGTATTCCCAAATAAATACTACTCATTTCATGGCACAGGGGCGCCCTAGACCCCTCACCCTGAAGCCATCTGAAGAGGATGCCAGGGCCTTCAGGCCGATGGCATTGATATTGAAATATGTTGATGGTATATGATGGTATTAATGGCCTTGTTCATAGTGATCATATTAATGTCATAAATAATCTGGATACAAAGTCGTGTAAGGTAGCTGTCTAGCAACATCAAGCTGGCCATCACGCTAGTCGCAGTGAAGGAAAGCTCATTGATGCATAGGTGCTGCCCTATTGCAAATACGATGAGCAGTCCATCTGGAATTCACGTATGCATTTACAAAAGCCTGAATACACTGGCCCCAGTTGAGGCCATGCTATGTCTTACCGGCGCTTGAGGGGAACGGGGGAGTACGGGCACTGTCCATGTCGAAGGGTATCAGCTTTGAAGCCAGTGGTACAGATCCGGTAGTTTCCATTTTCTTTTCCATTATCCCAATATAATCCCCTATATAACCCCAATATACTGTAGTAGTTTCCATTTTCTTTTCCATTATCCCAATACAATCCCCTATATAACCCCAATATACTATAGTAGTTTCCATTTTCTTTTCCATTATCGTAGCCCACTCGCCAGCAAGTTCTGAGGTCATTACCACCGGGTTCTCGGCCGACGAAGCGGAAGGACCTGTAGCAGGTAAGGCACAAGGGGCTTAGGGTTTAGGGTTTAGGGGGTAAGGCACAAGGGGCTTGTAGGTTGAAAGCCACTCGCGGTGAAGGCGGTCAGATCTGGAAGTTCCTCGAAAAGGTAGGGTTTAGGGTTCGTTCTTGAAGCTTCCTCTCGCAACCCTACATGCGGGAACTGTGATTGAGTATGATTCCGTAGGGATCCAAATAGCCAATGTAGCTAATATTTGCAGACTTTAGGGCCCAATGTAGGTATTCTTTGTATACTCGGATCCTTATATAACTCTTATATAGCCCCAGTTTCCATTTCATTGTCCATTTTCTTTTCCATTTGATTTTCCATTATTGGCATTATTTGTCTACTTGGACCCTTAGGGATCGAGACACACATTTGGGGGCCGGTCGGCGGACGAAGCGAGCGGCTGGAGTCGATAACGACAGCTGACAGCAGGTCCGTGCGGGCAACTGGTTTAGGGTTTAGGGGTTTAGGGCTTTGGGGGTTAGGGGTTTAGGGATTTAGGGGTTTAGGGTTTAGGGGTTTAGGGGTTTAGGGGTTTAGGGGTTTAGGGGTTTAGGGTTTAGGAGATTATATGAGGGTTTCCCAAAGTTGGAGAGTACCTTTTGGGAGTCTCTATAATAAGGACTATACTATTGTGGGGCCTATATTGGGGTCCCCCTATTTAGGGAAACTACCGTGGAACCCAATCATGAAGAGCCAAGTGGAAAAGAATATGAGAATGACATGGAAACTGGGCTACAAAGGTGCTTCTAAAGAATTCAGGTTTCGGGCTTAGGGAAAGAAATGCTGGTCCCTATATAACTCCTATTCCAGTTTCCACTTCATTTTCCATTTTCTTTTCCATTTGATTTTCCATTATTTGCATTATTATGTGATGGACCTGCCACAGCTCCGGAGTCGGCCGCCCGCAGTATTTGTCAGCACCTGGCATATGCTTCATGCAGACAGGACTTGGGATAGTACATATGTTAAAAAATCAAGACCTCCAGCATTCATACACATCAGGCATCATCGAACTCACCATCAGCGCCATCATCGTAGATGTCATGAGTGCCGTTACCCACCGCCATCGACCCCCGGCGTCATCTTACATTGTGACCCCTAATCATCATCGTCGTCATCATCATCATCATCAGCGCGAAAGCCATAGCAATACGGGCAACAGCAGTACTACTTTGCAGCATGCACGCTTGCATTGCAGCTGCCTCAGCAAGACTTGCCGCATCCAGCACGGCCACGGCACGTTCCATGGCAGTGCGTCTCAGGCGAGATGGCAGCAAGGACGATGGCTGGTGCAGCAATAGCCCTCATCAGCATCCTGGGGAGTCTTGGCTGCCCTGAAGGCTGGGACACTGTCGTCTGAAATGGTGGTTGCAAACAGTATTGATGGTGTTTATGCGTGGGTTGTGTGTTCTCTCTTCCATGACAATTCTTTACAGTTCCAAACCATCTACGGCCAAGAGCCCTAGGCTCATTTGCTCATGCATTGTCCGAGCTTGATGCAGAAGAAGCTTTGGCAGGATGCGCAACAAGTTTGCTGGCCGAAGCCGCATGCTTTGAAGTCAAGCTAACCATTCAATTATAGTACGTATTAGTATATTATACTATAATATAATATAGTATAATCTGTTATAGTATATTGGAGTATATTATAGTATATTGGGTGCTTCGATTTTCTTTTTCCCAAAACAACCCTTGCATCATCCTGAAGAGGCTATACTGCTATATAGGGATTCTATGGGGGTTATGATTTTTGGTTGTATAGGGGTTATATGGGGTTGTATACGGGTTATGCTTCTTAAACTCCTGGGATCTCTAGTTTGGGTAGTAACAATTTTAGTGCAGGCTTTGGTAAGTATATGATTATTGAATGCTTGGACCCTTGGGGTAAGCCCTTGCCCTCAAGCCCTCCCTAAACCCTAAAACCGTAAACCCTTGACCCTCCCCCTCTGAGCACCTCAACGGCACTTCTCTTCATCGGCACGTACGGGGCTCCCAGGAAGCGTCGCAGCTTCGGCAAGGCAAATGGCAACTGAGCAGCAGAGCCACTCATTGATGCCATTTTCAGTACCCCAAAAGAAGGTACTATGTATACCTGGACATCCCAACTGCCCATAGCGATAGCTTGTATACCCATCATCTGAATGTTATAGGCTATCATTCTGGGTGTTTTGGGAGGCCTAGTAGACTTTAGGGCGCATGTAGGTATCGCTTGAAGGCTCCATGTAGCTATATGGTATATAATGACTTGGGCCCTAGAGTAATTATATGGGAACCTTTTTGGGGCCTAGGTATATACTATACCCTAAACCCTAAGCCCCTAAACCCCAAACCCTACACCCTAGCTACATGGAGCCTCTGGGTCAGGGTAGGTTGGGTACTTCGAGATGCCGGTCTCTTACCACAGTGGCAGCCTCCAGTCTGATCAATGCCGTGTCAACGAGACGAGCTTGTTTTCATGGCTGCCCTACCCTAAGGGTTTAGGGTTTAGGGTTTTGGGTTTAGGGTCCATGTACCCAATAGTTGGGTACTTAGGGTTTTGGTAATGGTACTTCTCGCCCTGAGTCTAGTACAGGTGTTGGGTAAGTAGGTGGTGCTTTGAACACTCGGACCCTTAAGGGTACGCACGGGATGAGCTGGGCCTGAGATTAGTAGGAAACAAGGGAATCCCTAGGGATCCACATAGCCCAATGTAGGTAATATTTACAGACTTTGGGGCCCAATGTAGGTATTATTTGTATACTTGGATTCCTAGGGGATAGATTATAGGGAGTATAAGGTTCAATTATGTATATATAAGATATAGGAGCATGGCTAGTACTCATGCGACGGAAGCTATCGTAGCATCTGCCGGAAACGGATTCCCAGCTGCAAGGCAGACCGAAGCTTACAACCCGGCCTAAACCCCAAACCTGAACCCTCAACCCTAAACCCTAAACCCGACCCGAAGTCCAACTTGAACTCTGAATTAGATAGGCGTTTGTACGCCTAAGCCCCTTATGAGCTATAGTCGAGACTCCTGGTATCCCCCTTCATAACTCGTATAATACTCCCCTATATATCCCCCTTTAAGGACTTTAGACCCTAAACCCTCGACCCTATATAACCCAATCTAATCCCCTGTATAACCCCCCTCTAAGGAGTTGATAGACTATCATTCTTAATTTATGAGACTGGCAAGGGCACAGCCAAGCCATTGAAGACCACGAAGAAGCCTGTTGCGCCCAAAAAGATCTTTCGGACCTGGCAGCTTCCGACAGCTCATACGGGATCCAAATAGCCCAATGTAGCTACCCTAATAATGGAGAATCAAATGGAAGATGAAACGGAAGCTAGGAGTGTATAGGGATGTATAGGGATCCAAATAGCCCAATGTAGGCAATATTTACTTTAGGGCCCATTGTAGGTATCATTTGTTTACTTGGATCCCCAGGGGTTGGAACAACAATGCTGGGGTGTCGGGTTAGTTGAGCCCACTTGCACTTGTTGCAACCAATGAGGACTTCAAACTTCACGTTTAGGGGGCTTATTAATCCTAAACACTAAACCCCTAAATCGTAGGTTCCATTTTCTTTTCCATTATGCCAATGTAACCCCTATACATCCATGGGTCTAGTGCTTCTTCTCCAAAAGAAGAACGCCCTAAACCCTAAACCCTAAATTCCCTAAGCCCTGTTGGCAAACGCTCTGGCCTTGCTCTCGGCCACGGCAACCTTGCGGCAGATCCCCGGCCGCATTTACACAACAGCAGCAAGCGCAAAACTGAGCAGGCTAACCCAGAGGCCCCATGTAGCTATATAGTACATATTTAGGCCCCAAAGAGGTTCCCGCATAACTACTTTAGGGCCCAAGTATATACCATGTAGCTACATGCTGCGTTTGGGTAACAGAAAGACTGCAAATGTATGGCACCTGCAATGCTCTCATGCAAAGCACAAGTGAGTGGCAAGAGTACAAATGCATGAAAAAGGAAAGGACGGCCCGCTATAGACCCTCAGACAAGGTCTGGCACGTGCTCTTATCCCGATCAGCTACACTGTTCTCGAAGAACCCTCATCCAACCTATGCCCAGCCAACAGCTCTGTAAATCAAGAAGAGTGGATTAGGCCTAGCCCTAGGGATGCAAGTATACAAATGATATCTACATTGGGCCCTACAGGGTCTGTATACTGCCCTCATTGATCTATATGTGTATGTATGCGAATAATTCCGAACAATTAGCCTGATTATAACGACTTACATGCAGATGTACGAAGCTTCAGAGGAATGCACGGCATGATCTTCGCCCTTGCCCTTATTCACCGAGGCTGGTGGAACTCTCTAAAACCCCCTCTCCCCGTGTGCTGCCAACCCGCAACCCTGACAGGTTCCCCCCCATGACTCACCCCACAGGGACACCCCGCCCCCCAACCCGTCCCCCCCACCTCTCCCTCCCACCTCAGATAGCATTTGCAATTTGCCGTACTAGCTGCGCCTGAAAGCCAAGAATGTTGATGCGCTTCTTTTTAACCTGTCGGTATGGGACAGGTCTTGCGAAGATACCGGATTGAGCTGCACTCCGGAGTTTTCAAAGTTCGTTGTCGCACCGTTTAAGGTTTGGGGTTTAGGGTTTAGGGGTAGTGGGTGCAGGGATTAGGTTCGGTGGGTTCGGGGTCTGGGGTATAGGGTTTTGGGCTTAGGGTGTTTGAGCCATCTGCTGCACAAGAGAGTCCATGCAGCTGGACTGCCTTGCATTGACAGAACGAAAGTAATTCAGAACACGGCTCTTCTTTGGCGCTTCGTTGACCCCTACGAATCCCCCGGTCATTCTTCCAGCGCGAGGGCTCATGCTTTCTGCATGGGTACTTGCTTGTTTGCCCCTAAACCCTAAACCCTACTATGTATATATATATACACATACATATATATATATATATTTATAATCCCCTATATGGAGTGGGCACCGTCGGGTGGGAAGTTGTCAAGCCACCCTCAACAAGGACTACAGCTGGGGGTTTCCCAAAATTCGGGGTATGTTTTTCAGGGGGTCCCAATAATAAAGACTATATTACCCCTATAATCCCTATAGTAGCTTCCATTTTATTTTCCATTATCCCAATATGAACCCTACAGTACCCCTATAATCCTATAATATCTTGGGGTCTATATTGGGGGCACCCTGTTTTGGCAATTTGAGCTGGCGGGGCCACTTAAGCCTTCTTTGGTCTTTCATCATCTGAATCTGATCTCTATGTTGAGGTGGCCCTACCTTGCCGCCGAGCCATTCCTACTATGCCTAGCTAGCTCCCTCGACCTATGTTTTCCCAGTTTCCGTTTATCTTCCAGTCAATTGCCCAATACCCCATAAATCCTACATACTTCCCGTCCCCCAGCGGCCTCTTCCGGGACGCCTTCTGGCTTTGGGCCCTGATCCGGGTGACAGGATGCGGCCCACTTGACTGAGGGACTGGTCAAACTTGGGGTACAAATGTTAATGTATCTGGGTGTCCACCCCCCTAAACCCTAAACCCTAAACCCTAAAAGGGTCTTCTGGACTCTGCTGACGGTTTCGGGCACTCACCTTACCTACTTTTGCTGCCCAGGTAGGGCTTAGGCGACACCTCACGCACTGCGGAGCCAAAGAGATTTCTCACCTTGCGTCAAGATGAGATCCTACCAAGGACAATGGCATTGATTGAAGCCAGAAGATGAGTTGGTAGTTTCCCAAAACAAGGGGACCCTATATAGACCCCAATATACTCTAATCCTTATTATGGGGACCCTAAATAAGGTACCCCTAATTTTGGGAAACACCCAGTTAGCTGAGCAGGTATCTCGCGAGATCACGATCTTGTTGCTATAGTTCACCAAGGAACAACCCTGCAAGCAGCGCGCATAAAAGATGCACCGCCTTAGGAAACTACAGCATGGTGCTTTCAATGTCCCCGCATATTTTCACTGAAGCCATGGTCCATGTGAAAGCACCATAAGCAACCAGCACCTTTGATGACTCTAGACCCCTAGGCCACGAAGCCAAGACGGTGACACCCCGCACCCTAATCTAAAAGTCCATGACGCCCAGAAATCAAAACCTGTAAGCAGCCATCTCCTGACCCTCTGTCTACTCCCCAATGCTGTAAACTGTATCCCTCCCAATACACCATCGAAACCTTAACCCCACAAACCCGTAACCCACACGCAAAATCTCCAAAAAGACACCTGTAGGACTTGGCCCCAATGCTGGGCAAGGGGCCCTCTGCACAATGCGAACCCCACTATGTATAGGGACCCGTACTGAAATGAATTTGAGAAAATCGCCAGCTAATCTCTGTATACTTAAGACCTGAACCCTCAAATCCCAAACCGTAAACCCTCAACCCCCAAACCCTGAACCCGAAAACCCGTAACCCCTAAACCTCGAACCTCTAAATCCTGAACCCTAAACCCTAAATCCTAAACCCTAAACCCTAAATTCAAAACCCTAAACTAAACTTTGCCGTAAACCCTTAACCCGTAAATCCAAACCCTGAGGCCGTAATCTCTAAACCCCATGTACCACGGACTGTAGCCTCGGCACTTGCGTCAGTCCCAGAAGCCATCTGGAAGAGCCTGGGATGTAAACCGCAAACTTTAAATTTTAATTTCTAAAGCCCTAGGTCCGAAATCCAGTATTTTACATGCCTAGATATCCCTACATACACCAGAACCACAAGGCCTAGAATTTAGATAAAATTCTAGACCCTAAGCCCTAAGCCCTCCTGTTGGCATTGAGGGCTTCCACGCATGATCTCTTGCTGAGGCCTAGGCTACACCCACGAGCGCGCACCCGGCAGGCACATGGAATCTTCTCAGAGGAGGTATATCCTACGGACCCTTTGAGGGTGTCATGAAGGTTGTTGAGGGTTGGGGCTTGGAGGTATCTCAACCAGGTTACCTTTATTATAACCCAGGGATATTTCAACGGGGTTACAGCCAGCAGCATCATGTTGTGTAGCAAAGTCTGCAGGTCGGTGATGAAGCTGGTCTGAAAAATGGGATCGCCTTTTCTAGAGACAGATGGGATAAGGTTTGTGTGTGCGCGTATGCTCTCCCTACAAGGACATGCCACGTATACGCTCACCAGTGTTTGCAACTTGCCAATAACCAACTATAGAGGCCCGCATCAGGATTACTTCAGCCGCATGAAGCTGTACTTGATGACTGTCACTGTGGCATTGCTGCTGCAAACTACAAACTTGCTGAATAGGGCGTGCGAGTTGTAACAGCTTGTCTGCTTTATCAGCAATTCATCAACGCAAACAAGTCTCTGAGACTATGACGGCTATGACTCGATCCGGTGTTCCACGCTGCTTGCCTTATGTCCTCTTATGCTCAGTGATCCTGAGCCCAAAACTTCAGCTGACAAAAAACACCTCGCAGGCATCCAACAACGCTTGAGAAAACGAGTTGAAACAACTAAGGATGAGAGCTCTGCCTGTCTGCCTGCCACAGATGCGGTAGGTTGCATCGCAATTGAGCCAACACCACCCTCACAGGTAAGTAGACAAGAGAGTCTAGTGGGCAATGAAATGAAAACTGCTCTCATACAGGGGCTTATAGAATCAATTCAATGCTGAGCGTCAGCTTGACATTGGATGAAGTGCAACTTGGTGCTGCTGGTCCCAAACTGGGCAGTTCACTTGCCACGGGACTCCTCTCATGCTATGCGCATACCACTAAGCCCTGAACGGCCTTCCAAGCCTGATACTATATTCACTATCCCTAGGAATCCAAGTATACAAATAATACCTACATTGGGCCCCAAAGTCTGTAAATATTACCTACATTGGGCTATGTGGATCCCTAGGGTATGGAACCTGCGAGTGGTCTTTCCGGATTTCAACTTGCCAGGATTTCTTGAACATAACTCCGATGGGTTTGGCTAAGCCTACAGCCCCTCATTTCCTGCACGAAAAGCAAGACGGCCCCTACCATGGGAACTGGCTCCCGGGATTAGGGCCCAAATACTATAATATTAATGGTATTTGGGCACTTAAACCCTATTTGGGTCCTTGGACCCTTATATAGTCCCCATATATCCCTATTTACCCCCCTACAACCCCTCTAAAGGGAACTACTATTTGGGTCCTTGGACCCTAAGGCGAATCATGCACGGTTCGGCCAAGTTGATTTCGGCCACATACCGACGTAAGTCTTCCTGCAGAAGTCCCGGGACTTGGCTTAGGGTTTAGGGTTTGGGTTTGGGTTTAAGGTTTAGGGACTTCTGTGGAGTTCTTCCGAAACGGTTTAAGGTTTAGGGATAGTGCATAGTATGGTGGCACTCTGATGGCAGTAGTGGTAGCAACAGCAAGGGAAGTCATGTAGTAGGAGAAGTAGAAACAATTGCCTCACTAGTAATAAGAAGCAGCGGGCAACACAAGTAGAAGTTCTCATCAATTTCCTTGTTGGTCTAGATACTAGAAAGTAGTAGCAGACGTAGTAATCATCATCTTCTTCGCCGCAGCTGCCGCCCCTAACATTCAACAAGGAGCAAAGCCTGCAAGCTTTCAAGCCATCTGCGCTTCTTAGCTTTCTGCACTTCTGCTAGAACCACTGTTACTGGTACTATGACTGTTAGTACTGCTATTACCAGTACTATCACTACTATCACTATACTACCAGCTCCTAGCTGAGGTCATAACTTGAGTTGCAGCGGTGTCCATCTTGCGGAGCATGATTTCCACCTGGTCATTCGTAAGCAGTCTCGTCCCATATCGCTGGAGCAGCCAGCAACATGTTGGTTTTCAAAATTTGGTGTCCCCTGAAAGAAGGTCATAGGGAATATGTAGGGTTACACAGGGATTTACAGGATTATATAGGGTTTAGGGATACCCAAACTTAGGGGTACTTTTTGGGGGGTCCCCATAATAAGGATTGTAGTATTTTGAGGCCTATATTGGGTCCCCATGCTTGGGAAACTACCACATTACGTGAATAGCCAACAGCGACAGTCTGCTGCTGAACAGGCAGATAGATTGACGCTGTGGAAGACAGCTAGGCTCAAGATGAATGGGGCCAAGGGCCGTGGACTGTTATACGGAAGGACTCAATGAGCATCGTCAACCACAGTGGCCCTCTGCTGACCCTGGGCATCCAAGAACTAGAAACTCTGTCCACAAATCAGTGAGATGCTTTGATTGAGGCAGAAGCACTACATGCAACTGGTTGATTCAATATGAGCTGTAGTCTAAACTCCTAGTATCCCCCTTAATATCCCCCATAGTAGTCCCCCATAGAATCCCCTCTATAACCCTCTTTCACGAGTTTAGATTATGGCTCATATGACCTTTGTTGACCTCATGCTTCAACAGAATATGCGACCTCTCGCTCCTCCAGGAGGAGGTTGTTGGACTCATCCACCTGCAACGATAGGTGCGTGTCAGAGAAAAGGCCTTTACTGGGTTGCTGTTAAGGAACTTAAATTAAGTTACCATAATGGGTATATGTAGTAAGTAATAGGGTTTCCCCAATACAGTAACTGAATTTAAATTCCTTGACAGCAACCCAGTTTAGGGCCGCTACAGAAATGAGGGCTTACAAAGAGATCACTCTTACTGATACTACTCTTCTTCGTCTTACCATTATTACGATGAATTCTCACTATTCGTAGGAGTACTACTACTGCTATTATTTCAGTCCCTCCTAAGGGCCAAAGAATGATTATTTGGGGGTTTGTCAAAATTAGGGATACCTTAGTGGGGGTCCCCATAGTAAGGACTATAGTACATTAGGGTCTACATTGTGGTTCCTCTATTTTGGGAAACTACCATTTCAACTCACAGCAACATTGTCATCATGATGTTTGCTGTTGCTCCCCTGCTGGTCGGCATTGCCCACAATGTGAGGGTATAGACAGCTTGAGACAGGATACCTCACAGAAGAGCTCGAAGAGAAGCTCCTTCCATCAGACGAGTGTTGAGGCTTCTTTACCCTAGGGGTCCAAGTATACAAACAATACCTACATTGGGCCCTAAAGTCTGCAAATATTAGCTACATTGGGCTATGTGGATCCCTAAGGTTAGACAGATTTAAGGCTTCGTAGGCATGCCTCTGCATGTAGCTAAGGTCACTCTTACATCCCCACTCCCTCACTTTGACCACTTCGGCACAAGTTGCTTCTGCCAGACAAGAAATGCCCTAGTGACTCTCAGTTGATGCGGATGAAGCTAATGCAAACGGGCAATAGGCAATAGCAGCTGGATGTCCATATCGCTCTCGAACTCCTTTGCAAGAAGCTTGTAGTACCTGGGCACATTACTTGAGAGTGTGCTGGTTATCTCGGAAGAAACGCTTGTATGAGCTTAGCAATGTACAGGCGGAAGTGAACTTGTGAAATTGTGTATTGATGGGATGGACGGATTTTGTCCGATTTTAGGATTTCCAATCACGCTAGCGCGAATCTCCACTTGCAGGACTGTCGAGTTTAGTTGTCCATCGGAAACTGGAGTTGCAAGCTTCAGTGGTTTCATCGACCATCCAAACAAGCTGGCAGTACTAAAGGGAATCACAATAAGCCCATATGCCATATACCGCGCCGCGACACATTGTGATATCTGCTGCTTCTGCAGCCCCTTCAGCCAGCGATGAGAAAAACGTTTTTACCTAAATCCGGATGCCCTGCCAATGTCAAAAGAGTTCCAGCCAAACTTAGGCACAAGAACTCTGCCTGCAGGGACCCCCCAGAGCGCATAAACATAAGGTTTCTACCTTCACTTTGTAGCCCTCTACTCATTACGTATATTGCAAATGCATAAAGAAATCAATGAAGAAATAAGCAAATAGGTAGGTATATGTTTATATATATATGTGTGTAGAGATGTATCCTATACCTGTGTTGCGAGATTCTTTTGTTTGTGTGGTGCTGTGAGTCCCAAACTCGTGCCTGTGGCTTTGAGAACCCGACTCCGGCATGGTCTCCAGCAAGCCATTTTGGCTGGCGCGAGTACAAGCTTGGGTTTTGGTGGTTATGGGGTTGTCATACACATCCTGAACCAGGACCCTCCTTGTACCCTTATCTAAATAAGGGTATATGGTCCCTGATAGTGGGTCCTTAGGCATACTACAGGGCTTTAAGAAAGGGAGGACCTTTGCTGATTGTGCTAGTTGGTCATGCCTGCTGCTAAGAACCCAAAAGACCTCTAATCTGAACTCCTAGTATACCCCTTACTACACCCTAGATAATCCCATTTAGGAGTTTAGACTATAGCTCAAGTTGTATGAAATGCATCTCTGGTTAACTCTAAATCGTAGTTTCCATTCTTTATTTGCCATGTTCTTCTCCATCATTGGGTGTGGTATCCCCTAATTATAATAACCCCTAAACAATAGCTTCCATTTCATTGTCAATTTTCTTCTCCATTTGATTCTCAATGATAATTAATGCTCATGCAGTGGCTGTGTCAACTTCCAGGCCTCTCTCTTTCCATGACCGCGGTCAACATTTTCTCTTCCTGCCATACGTAGGGTTTAGGGTTCATATTGGGGAAATATTGGGATAATGGAAAAGAAAATGGAAACAACTATAGTATATTGGGGTAATTGGGTTATAGAGGGAATGTCTCTAAACTTCACTAGATCTAGCTCACAGCCGAATCAGCCAAACGTAGCTGCTTAGCAAGTTTTAAGACTTGCGTGACTGGACGAGCAATTAAGCAATCGCACGCCCCCAATGATCATCTCGAGTCAAAAGCGCTTACGGTGCCAACGATTTTTTCTTTTTTGAAAAAAAAGGTGCCCGGCTGCTGTGTCTGTGCATGCATCATTCAGAATATCCCAGGTGAGCGCCTGCAATCGAAGCCCCCCAAGACCCTCATAAGGTCACTTTTGGGGGGCGGGAGCCAAGCACAAAGCGATCTTGCCTTGAGCTCCCGTAGCTGGCTGTAAATTCTGCGATAGCCCATGACCTCGCGCTTCAGCAGTGGAAGGGGCTTCAAGCTCAGAACAAACAATTCGTGATGCGAAACGTAAGTGTCACGTCCGAATCTCCGAAAGGTTGACTTTGCAATGAACAAGCAAGCCTGCACAGTTGGACATCTGCGCGTTCTAGCATGAGAACACTCAAACATCTTCCACGTGCTCATGACATGTCTACGAAGACATTCAACGCTCGACTAGGTCGCCCACATTCTTCCGCAAAGAAAGCCAATCGAGGGCCTGGCATGCATTCAGTGTCATGTGTGTGACATGAAAACTACCATTTAACTTTCAGGGTTTAGGGTTTAGGCCAACTCTACTGGTACCATCTTCTGCGCTAAGCTTGGAAACTTGGTGACCTGCTCTCTGAATTGCAGCAGCTGAGGAAAGCAGGAATATCATCGCCACATGCATCCCAGAGATCTAGACTGAAACACGATGTCGAACTCTAGAATACAAGCCCCTACTGCAAGCTTAAGCCCTACACTCTAAATCCAACACTGAAAACGTAAAACTCAAAACCTAAAGCCTGATCCCCTCCTGCTTCCCCAAACCTAAGATCTGAATCCTAAACCCTAAATCCACACCGCTCGCAGACGGCCCATTCGACCCCTAAAGGCTGAAAGCTGCCTGAAGCCTCGCATCGCAGCCCACCACTCCAGAGCCCAGAATGCCAGTCAGCAGCGTGGCCGCACTGAAGCTGTAGGACGATGCCTTTAGGGGTCTACGGTTTTCGGGTTTCCATTTCAGGAAGGGGTAGGAGGATACAGCTGCTTTTTAAAAATACGAGCGGGTATGGAATGAGGGAATGGAGAAGAGAATCAACAAGGTTTCAAGGTGGTTAGTAGGGAGTGAAGTAGGAGAAGGCGTTTTCATCGGGGTATGCAGGATTTAGGACTATATGGAGGTAAACAGGGGAATACAGGCATTCTACAGGGGTATGAAGGGGGCACGTGCAGAGGATACGGGATTCAGGGTCTAGAGGGCAGGGTTTTGCGCACGTGGGAATCATGTTTCGGATTAAACTGTCAGGGTTTGCCGCTTCTGGATTGTTAGGGCTGATTAGTGATCGATACATGAGATATACTTTTCTTTCGACATGTTTAACGCTGGGATTATGGGTACTTGCGAGATCTTTCAGAGTCCCATGAAGGATTCATGGTAGGTTCATGCCGAGCTTAGTTACAAAAACCTTGCACTGTGCGCCAATTTGATTACAATGGTTGTGTGATTCTGCATGCGGATCCTAATATGGCTTGCACGAACAATCAGTACTCATCTTAGTGGAGTGAGTTCTGAATGTACAGAACATTCAGTTGCGTCCCTCATCGTAGTTACTATATGCCGTTTATGACGTGCATGGCCAGTAGCTAGGTACCGCCATTCCATATACCCAGGTGCCCATCCCAGAAACTTGCTATCCACATCCAAATTCCCATCTTCGCCCTCACTCCCCAACCCCCGAACGCCCCTAAGCCATAAGCCCTACACCCCTTGCTAAGCCCAAAGCCGCAAATTCCCATGCCTTAAGCCTGAAACCTCAAAAAATCAAAGCCGCACAACCCTAAATTTCCGAACGCCCCCAAACCCCCAAATCCTACAAACCCCAAGTCCCCAAACTCAGGCCCTCCAAAGCGGTGTACTACTGTAGGTGGAGGAAGTCTTGCACCACCATATGTACTATGCACCAATAGTTACAGTAAATCATTTTGGTATCCGAAATGGTGCAAGTCTCCCTAAACCCTAATCCCACTAAACCTTTAACCGAAAATCCTAGACTTTAACTAAACCCTGAACCCTAGACACTGAAAACCCTAAACCCTATAAACCCCAAAACCTAAATCCCAAATCCGACATCCTAAACCTCATTCCTAAACACTTCACCCTAGAACCTAAACCCCAAACCAAGCCCTAACAGCCCAAGGGGGCGCCTTATGCTCAGAGCCCGTAGAGCCGCTGTACCAGCGCAGTAGGGAGACCAAGGAGATGGAGCCATCCTCTCGTTGATTTAGGGGTTTCCCAAAATTAGGGGTACAATAAGGACTATAGTATATTTGGGTTTAGGGTTTAGGGTTTAGGACTATAGTATATTTGGGTCTATATTGGGGTCCCTTATTTTGGGAAACTACCATTTAGGATTGAGGATCAGGGCGGCAACAGTCTGTGAACGGAAGTAGCATTGTAGCCGCAAGGAGCCGGAGCAAGCCCAGGAGCAAACCAAAACCCGAGCAACAGGTGCAAGGAGGCACAGGCAGAGGAGGAGCAGGAGGAGGAGGGAAGAGGTTTTGGGTTTAGGGTTTAGGGGTGGTGGTATCATGGCAGTAGTGAAGCAGATTATGATGTTACCGTAGTGCGCCTTCCGTTCGGGAGTGCTCTCAGACGTGCTGCCAGGCGCACAGTTCTCGATCGCCTGGAGTCATATGCAGGGCGGGGCAGGCCCGGAACAAGAAATCCCTACCAGCTTGCAAGCGTGCACGTGTGCAGGGGATGCATCGCTTTGATCCTGTTTAATATCATGCAACCCATAAATCTGAAACATTCCAAAGAGACCACCGTCCTGCCTGAGGCAACAAGAACAGCACCGGAAAGAAGTACGTATATTCAAGACAGACAACCGCTGACAACTCGTTGAGGCTAGCATTCAAGGGCAGCATCACAGTCTTGGAGGCCTGCATCAGCTTTGATGCTTCCTCGCCACGCACGCGTCCATCCAGATTGGCATCGTGCTGGACGAAGACGGCAAACAAAGCCTCGAAGCAAGCACTTAGTTTTGGGGGCGTTGAAAGCCCAGACTTTTGAATGCAAGGCTAGCCTGCCAGACTTTGCAAAAACCAGGTTGGCACAGAAACGGAGGGTTGTCCGATGGACTCTCAAATCAGGAGCTCTGACGTTGACACTTGCACGCCCACCTGTGTCAGTGTATGCATATGAAGAAATTCCGAACTCTGTGCCAGCAGGACCCTCAGTATAAGGACCCTGCTTACATGACTAAAATTGACATAAGGTTCTACTGCAATAAGAAACTTTCCAAAACCCAGAACCCTTGCCCAATAATTATTCGAACCCAATCCAGCAGAAACAATGGAAAAGCCCCGTGCAAAACATGCCTCCTCAGCACGGTCCAACTCAAGGGTGAGAAGTCGGTGGATCTAGGCTGAACTTGTGTTTGAAGATATGCTATAATAGAGTAGGTTTGGGGGCCCTATAAACATTGATTTTACGGCCTTATGAGGATTATATAAAGATTGAGTGTAAGAAGAATTGTTATAACAATCATGTTCAAACCTACCCTTGGTAGGGGCTTTATGGGTTTGAGGCCTTGGGTCTCTAGGGATAGATAGCCGAGGTCCAGGGTTTGACGTCTGGGGGCTTGGGGATTTGAGGTTTAGGGTTGAGGGGCAGCAGGGGAGTCTATGAGAAGGTCAGGATATTGCGTAAGGTCTGCACCACCATGACCTCTACAACCTTTCATCAAACCACTCCCACGTCAACATTGAACTTTCCAGATCAAGCCTTGGAGTGTATCTCAAACTTGCGCTCTTCCTCGCATGAGAGGGGACTTTGTGCCATCTAGGCGTGCTTCATTGGATTTGGTGAGAAACTGCATGCCCAGATGCTTCGAGCAGACATACTGGGATGAAGCTTAAAATGCCTAGACTGTAGCCACCTGCTTAGGTTCCTGACATTACAAACACAGGCTCACAGCTAACATGCCCAGCTTGTACGCGGGGAGACGTCGAACTCAGGTTTCTTACACTACACCGACGAGATTTCCAAAGCCGCGCCCTTCCGAGACGCGCAGAAACTGCAGCCGCTTTGCAGGGAACCCTAAGCCCTAAAGCCTACAAACTCAAAATCTGAAACCCTCAAGCCCATAGAAAGCAAGTTAACAAGAGCAAAAGCAAAAGAACAAGTCTGCATACCCGGACGTCCCGACCTGAACCCTATACAACTTCTACACTTCGACCCTCAAAGCCCAGTAAATACAAATCCTAAAGCAAAACTCCCGACCTGAACCCTATACAGTTTCCCTAGGGCCCTAGGGATCCAAATAACCCAATGTAAGTAATATTTCCAGACTTTTCGGGCCAATGTAGGGATTATTTACATACATGGATCCCTCGGGTTTGTGCAAACCCTGTAAGCTCTATAAACCTTCAACCCCCGGGATTATTCCTTCAGCCAGGCCACTCTCATGGCCAGGCGTCTCAGATAGTGCACCTCCCATTCTCGGTAGGCCTCCCAGTTGAGTAGTGTTGTTTTTGGTGGGTAAACCTAGTAAGATAATATTCCTTATATAAACTACTATACCCCAAAAGGAGGACATAATCTTACTCTATATTGGGTACCATCATATCCCCAAATAAAATACTACTCAGTTGTGCTTCACATGGCGGCGAGAGTCTGGTAGGGTCATATCAACCTTTTATGAGAGCTATATAGGGATTCTGTAGGATAGTATGGAGTACCCTGTATGTTAGGGGCCCATTGGGTTTTGGTTTTAAGGCCTCTGTGGGGTTTCGCATCGTGATGCTAGCCATGGAATGTCAGGTACTAGCAGAACCTTACAGCATTGACATGAAGCTGTGCAAACTCAAGTCGTGGACCATGGTCTCATACTCATACAATCTGAGCTGATGCCCATTGAGAGCTCTGGGCTGTAAAGGATGCATCTTGGGAATGTAGCATGATCTATGTTGACCTTAAGGATACCACGACCCCACAATTTCCAAAGTTTAGACATACAAGGTCATGCAGAACCGTGTTGATCCGGCGTAGGAGGTGTTGGAAATGCTGCCAAGCACATGGCTACCTTTCCTCCTTGTCATCACAGTCTCTAAGACTCGAAGCTATATTCAATTCCAACCCAAGGCAAGTGCAACTCTGCTGCTAAAGCATAAGAAGGTTTCGGAAAGAAGTACTAACTAAATATCATCCCTACATAACCTCGAAGGCCTCTGAGAGGTAGACGGCCTCGTCATCTTCAGGATCCTTCTTTGCGTTCAGGATTTGTGGTTAGGGTTTGGTGTAAGGACATTACCCCTAACAATGGAGAATCACATGGACGCATGGAAAAGAAAATAGACATGACATTGATACTTGGATTATATAGTGGTTTGCGGGAATTGTACCATCTCTGATTGCACATACAATCTAAACGCAGCCAGCAGGCCAAACGCGCCAAAACCCTGCAGTCTCTACATTGAGCTGGTGTTGCTCTGGCCCTGAACTAGCCTCCATGTATAGCGTCTATATGGAAGCCCATGAGATGGGAGCCTTCAAGCGTCGAGGCCATAAGTTTGTAATAATATGCCTTGACGTATTTCATACCATTTCGTTTAACTACCCAGGAAGCGCTCAGAAAAACCTGTCTCGAATCTGACTAATAGATGTCTGAGCATGTCTACTTGAGTGGGTTTTGGCCTCTGAGCACCCCTACATCCCAACCGTTTGCCGCAATGTCCTCTTCTGGATGATCCTCCTCGATATACGCACCAGTCTCCTCAGTGGGGGCCGTATTTGGTGGGGAACACGTTACAAGCATAGACTCTCCTTCAAAAGAATAGCATCAAGGTTTATCTCCGCTGGTTAAGGCTACTTGCTACTACGAACAGCAAAACAAGGTTCCCCACATCCTGCGTAAACGCCTGACACCCTGAACGTGCCAGAGCCTCAGAAAACCAAGAAATTGACCCAAAGGCTGTGTTTTCTAAGAGCGCCTACAAACGTGCCAAGAAGCATGACTTCTCTTCACATCAATCATGCATATTAATCAAATCAACTCCGTAGAAAAGCCTACCATAAATCCTAAATCCAACAAAATGTAACAGAACTGCACACCTAGGAGCGTCCTCCCAACGTTCGCTGCCCTCCTCATCACCTGATCTCGCTTGAATCATGCGCTGTTAGGAGGGACTGCTAGAAGGGACCCCGAATCCATGCTGTAGAGCCCATACATAATAACCCCTTACATACCCCTCATACTCCTTGGTAACCTGCAGAAAGTCATTGTCAACTATTTGGGCCTCTTGTTCATGTTTAGGCACAGCGTTTACAGCTTGGGGCTTCTGAAGAGCTTTATTTAACAGTTATGGTAGTTTCTCAGAAGTAGACTTGGGATCCACGTGGAACCCATTCTGGCTACGATAGGGACATAATTCTTCAAACGTGCTTACATGTGCACAGAGCTTACATTGGGAGGATGCGACAAAATCATATCATTGCTGTTTTAGGCCTGGGCAAGAGTGCTTATTTTTTTGGTGTCTGGTCTTTTTGGTTGTTGCTTGGGCTTTTCGGGTGTTCTGTTTGGGCGGGGGCGTGTTTCATTTTTTGCTGTTTGGGCGGCGGCCACGCCCCGCCCAAACAGCAAAAATGAAACACNNCCCCCCCCCCCCCACCCCCCCTGCATCGACCGAACACTTGTCCGAGTAGAAGTGTACCCACGACCTGGCCTTCTACAAGAGAAGGCGATCCGGCAAAGTCCCCATGAGGCTACGTGTCTCCAAATCCTGGTCACTGAAAAAGGAAGCTCTTTTTGGATAATGCAAAGCTGCAGGGGATGGCAGAAAGTGAAGCCAGGAACCCCCGCCCAAACGGCAAAAAATTAAAACACGCCCCACGCCCAAACAGC